TCATTATCACCACCACCTTATATTCTCCTATTAAAAGCACTTTTGAAGCAGAAGGGAGAAAAACTTTGCAACTCTTTGACTGAGAGAAGAAATTTTAGATATACTCTCTCAAAAACAGAACAAAATATGTACTCAGATGAAAAGTGATTGCAGTGGTAAAACATGTTAGTCCTCCACTCACAAAGTGCTGGGAGTACAGTACTAGTAATAAGAGACCCTTATCACTTGCAAAGACAGAACAACACAATCAAGCCAGAATAAATCTGCATCTAAGGTAAACCATCTACTTACTGCATTTCATATAGGCAATTCAGCCAATGTAAACAGAAATTATGCGCTGCGTTCCACTAGATGGTAATCTAAAAACAACCGAAACAACTCTACACCACTTCAGGCAACATGGAAAGAACTAAAACCTCTCATCGTTTCTATTTCAAATGCATTATTCAGATAAAAACTACTGAATTACAAAAGTCCTTTCAACATAAGGTAACACAACATATCCACAACATTTTCCACAACTGGACTGCCAGAAAGTGAGTGTGATTTTGCAGGTAGCCTAACACACTAGCATCTACAAGTATTCTGAATATATTCACTGCTAGCACTTCCCAATACAGCACTAAAACAAGGATTTTACAGACGGGTAAAGATGGAACTGTGAAGAAGTCTGCACCACTACTTTTCACAGCATGTTCTAGGCAATTCTCTCACTTAGCCCTAAAATAAAATGGAACTGTCTCCACATTACCACTTTTCCAGTTGTCAGGCAAACACGCTAGTTAACCAGTTATGGAAGATCAGATGTTCAGATACAATCAAAATACCTTAAGAATAATTTAAGCTTAAGAATGATGTACTTAAAAGTACGGTAATTCCCAGCTTATTAAAATAGTTAATCAGCAGCCATCTATTTCCTACTTTTCTTCTACCCCCCCCCTTTACCACCACACAAATAAATAAGCAAATAAAAGCAGAAGAAAAGGTTTCAGCTTAGCTGGCTGAAGTCTTTAACAATGAACATAAGCTTAAACCCTCAGAACTCTTAGAGCTTTTCTGGTCACTATGCTAAAATAAAAGCATACTTTAAAAAATACTGACCATATTCAGAAAAAAACCATCTTTTTAATCTTAAATTAAGTAGCGCATTTTGTATTAAATAGAACTGTCTCCCTATTTAGAATTTTCCATTATTTTACTGAAAAGTCTAGGTAATTTCAGCTTTAGTGATTTTTATAACTCCTCTTTCTCTGCTAAATGGAAATTGAGCCACCTAAACCACCCATGTAATAAATAATTTAGCATCCATCATTAAAATGTCATATATTGCACTTGTGTTTTTAAAAGTATTTTATCATAATCCTAACATTCCAAGTATCCAGAGCAATTGCAAAGCTTTTGTACACCTAAAACACTCAAAGCCATGAAAGATGAAGCTAATATGGAGACAATTAACTTACTATTCTACAAAACATACTACTCCTCTATGAATTGCAAAATAGTTTTTTTGATGCTCCACTTTGTAATTTTAATGATAAACAGAAGTTCCTTTCACATGGTTATTCTGTGAACATGTCAGACGGTACATTAGCACACAGCCACACTTCCTGGCAGTAGGGCAATGGTCCCACACCCTGGCCGATGCAGATGGATCTTTTTCATGGGACACTCTACTGAATTCACTGCTTATCCGGACATAAGGGTTCCCCCAAGGGAATCAAATGACAGAACTGGGATATGAACCAAGGGTAGGATAAGAAGTCTTTTACTGGATTGCCACTTAATCCTCTACGGCATTTTTTTGGTCTCACCTGCCAGGAGAAGCAGCGTGATAGGTTTGACACAAAGTAGGCCTTGCTGTCCACAGCATACGCAGTTTCTGGATTGCAGTACCTGGTTTGGTCCTCATAGCAGTGTAACTGTGACAGCCTGTGAAGCCACCAGTACATCTTTTGTGCCAAGTCAGAAAACATCTCTCCACCCACATGAGGCATAATGCTATTTATGCATCATTTGTACTTTCATGTGATTTTTTTCCTCCTACAGTTTCACCCAGGAGGAAGAAGGGAGAGGAAAAGATATTTTATTTTTCTCATTTAAAAATGTGTTAAGAAATCATAGGCAATAAGACCACCATCATTCTAATAAGTTTTTAAAGGTATATTTATTTATTGGAAAATAAAACTAAGTTTGCAAGTATATTTAACATAATTTGATACATTTTTACATATCTGTAACACTGAACAACTACCTTCTCTCTCTCCAAGAACATACGCATTCCATTTTTTGTTGTCTCACTCAAACATATGATCTCAGTAAGAGGAATACAAATAATCTTAATAGAATAATACATGCAATTGGGAAAATACACATGGCTGTTTAAAGTGTTTCCAGAGAGGTATCCACAGTATCTGCCCTTTGTTGTTTGTCCTAAGTTTCACACATTCCAGTATTCTGTAACAAGAGGGTGTGACAAAGGCAAGCAGAGGATGTAGGATAGAGTTTACTGATGAATTTAGGAGGAGAGGCTGGAAAAGGCTGCACGTACACAGGATAAAGTAGAATAATACACAGCACTTGAAGGTGCAGAACCCCTGATGACTAACAGTCCTCCACAGAGATCTGAGCTCTCTCTTGCTCAACCATGCAAAACAAAACATAAACCCCTCCCCCCAAAACAGTCCCCCAAATCTCTATGCAATACTCTACACTGTTTTCATATGCAAACCTGGTGTAAATCCAAGGATTTGGATTGGAAATCATGGGGAATCCCTAATCAGAAATGCATCTACTTTCTGTAGAAATCCACACAAATAAATAAATTGAAATCTTATAAGCCTCTAAAATGACAAAACAGCCTCGTATTTGAAAATACTTCAGGGTTGTAGCTCTCAGCCTGCAACCCAATAAAAATATTTGCATAATCAGTTTAATCAAGGCATATTTTTGAAGAAAATTTCCATTAAAGTTCTGAACATTATGTAATTACTGCTTAGAAGAGGATGATACCAATATGTCTGTCAAGTGTCCTTTGCATTATTTATTTTGGATACTTTACTTAGGTTTACTCTAAGAGACAAACAATAAGCATTCTAGTACCATAAGCTGACTGCAGATACTGCAAATGCAGATAAAAACTTGGGGTGAGAAAGTGGTTAAACCATTTAATGTTCTAGTTCACCCACTAAGACAGTAACTCAAACATTTGTTTTGTTTCCAAAATGCAATTTTCAGATATGACATTAGGGAGAGGGAAAGAAGAGGAGAGACTAGAGAAGCATCCATATGAAGAACATTCTTCAACTGTACCTGTAAACATACCTATTTTTTTGTAGAACAATTCTTATTGCTTGACTATTTTAGACCTATGCTAATGAAGTAGCATAGGCCTGGATATATCTTTCTAAGGAAAGAAAGAAAAGCAAAAAGATTTGAAATAAGGCATCCCGAATTTTCAAAGGGCGCTTTCTTCTAATCTATCTGCTTGGATAATGCGTCCAGAGTGGCATTTTGTAATGACAGCAACTTTCCAACAAATCAATAGTTATTTAATTCCCAACAAGCTCTCGAGTCCATTAAACCTGATTACATTCACCCATTTCAGTTGGGTGCAGTTATTTTTCCTACACCAGCACTTAATCTATAACAGGAACTTATGAGAACTTTCAAAAGCAATTTCAACAACAATCAGCATAGAGTGAGAGGCACGATTTGCTTGTAATTAGTTATTGGACAGGATGGCAGAGGGTCTGACTGAGCTCTAACGTTCGACCTTCACCCCCAAATTCTAATGGATATGAAGGCCTGCTTGATGTGTTCAAGTGTGCTACCGTGTTTCACTGCATAAAAAAAAATAGCATCAGCTTGCATGTCCCAGACGACACAGTTTTTCAATACCTGATAATGGTCACTGTGCAATGCTATATTTCTATTTTAGACATATGTGTCTGATATTAAGCCTAAAGTGAAGAACACAACTCACAGTCTTCGATTACTGAATGGATCTACATGGAAAAAAACCTGTTTCATGCTGTGATTGCCCCTCTATGCCAGCTAACTGTTGTATTAAAGGAGCATAATGAATATTTGCCTGTCCTCCACAGTTAATTTGACTGATCACTAGCATGACACAGAAATGCCGTAATACACGTGTGTTTCTCGACCCTGTTAATGCATAATATCTGACTACTGCCATTTATAGGGTGCACTGTTTTTCATTTTGTCAATGCTTGGAAATGTTACTTGAATTCTTTCTTAATGTCTTCAAATACTGTAAACAATAGAATACTTTTTGCTTAATTAGCGTCTGTGTGATCTATTCATAATCCTAAATCTAACAGCAGAAAATTCAGTAGTACCACTTTTTGATAAAAATAAAATCAAAAACAGACAACACAACAACTAAATCTAGTAATTGCCAGTTAACTTCTAAAATACAAAACTCTCGCCTGAAGCAAGAGCTTACACTTTCAGGGCTCAAAAGAATTCATATGATGTGCATAAATATTCTGTGAAGGTGATATATTTCTATACACACAAAAACACAAACCCTTTTTCATTCAGTGTGACGCATAACATATGAATTAATGCATATTTAACACTATCCATATTTGCTGTGCTAAAACACTTAACCTAAACACATCATGGTAAGTTACTTTGTCTTACGACCTGCCGTGGGAATGCTGACTCCCTCAGAAACCTAGAATGGATAGCAAATCCTCTGCCCTGTGGTCAACCTCGTGAAGCAAAGGCATGAATGTTAAACAGCAGACAAATCAATACAAGCAAATATAGCTCAACTACATCATTTATTCAGCCATGAGAGATGTCAATACACAGATTAGGGTGATCCATCTTTTTGATTTCCTACTGTCTTCTTACTGACTACATGAGAGCTTTTGCCTGTATTAAAAGTGTTTGCTTTCTCAACCATAAAAATTCCAATTATTACTCTAAGTGCACTAGAGTTAAGTTGCTTGTTGGAAGCGGCCTTGCATTACCTGAACAAGTCCAGCGAAGTATGGTGCTGCCGGCAGAATCATTGGCACTCCATATGGATGTAGCAAAACTCCTTGAGACGACAACATGGTTTAAGTGATAGTATTACTCCCACTAAAGCTAAACACATCAATTGAAAGTTAGGGGAAAATCTATATACCAACTTCTTCCAAACTCAGAGCTAGAACCAAATAACTTCTGTCAGGGGCAAAGCCCACATCAGCTGTAAAAAAAAGAAAAAAATTGACGTCAGCAACTCTTAATGTTAAAATTTTCTTCAGAGACAACAGATAGAGACAACAGCTGCAAACCTAACTATCAAAAAAGGAAGGTGCTATTTTGGGACCAGCTTAAGTAACATGACTAACCAACTACTCTTTATCAGTTCAGATTTTTAAGTACTATACACATACAGATCAAACTCTGTACAGATCTACCGATTAGAATTAATTTTCCTATCAGTTCTGGCATATACATGACAACAGTTACTATTAGAAGCCATTTAAAAATAATCAGGTTTATCATGATTGCATAAATGTTTCCCTGTATTTATAAGCTGTTAAACAATATTCATGTGAGAGTTTAAACTTAAGTCTGTTACATTGGATACATATTCTGCTTTTTTTTTTAAACTTATTTTGAATATTTGAGCTAACTAATGCAAGCTAACTACTTCTATTAGCATAACCTATATTTTAGTGGCTTTTCTAACCTTTCACAACATCTATGTTGTTACATTTATCATAGCTTTTTTAAAAAGAATGAATTTGACCTTTAGAGTATTTCATATCTGTTCTCCAATTAAACTTACTCTCTTAGTGTAAGAGATAAAAGAGTGAAATTTAGGCTGTTTCCCCCCCTAAAAAAAACAGATTAGCTTTTTAATGTACTCCTTGCAAGACATTCTCTTCCACAGATAACCGTTTTTACTTTAGACAAAACATACTGAGTCATTAACACCTGTTTCATGTGCAATGTATCCTCTATTGCAGATATGACTAATGACAAGAATTACAATTGAGCAAGATTTTTTTAATTCAATAAAGAATTAGTTAGGTGCTTAAAACTTCATGTTACAAGTCAAAAAAAAAAAATCCTCTCCTACAGTCCTTGAATAACCAGGGTGCTTCACATCACTAATTTCAGCTACTTGATTATGTTGCATAATTACTTTTCCAGATAACTAATTGCAGACAAGATTTGATGTGATACTCAATTATTTAATGTCACATTCTGACCATCGTGAAAGGTTTTCAGTAATTGATTCTCATGTATCAAGGCAGCTGTGTTGCATGATTTAGAAATCTACCTTAGCAGCTGCATGTTGGCCCTCGTTACTATCAGCCTTACACCGTTTCTAACTTTAGGTGTTGAATTGTGACCCTCTATGATGGCTCTTTTGAGAGACTGCCAATGAGGACAGCAATTCTCACATGATGAAGTGATGTTTACCTAGTTCCATCTCCTGTTATAGAATCACTTCACTTTTCAGTTGGGGATAATGCTGTTCACACTGGTTATCTGACTATGCTTAGCTATTAATCATATTTCTGGCTCTTTTCTTATTAAGGAACAGAACCCTGCAGTTTAATTATTAAGCACACAGTAGGCTGACACATCATGGGTTTTGCCAAAAGATTTTCATAAATTCCAATACAAAACCAGTTATTAACTTTCATACAGAAATATATAAACAAAAGGTATATATGAGAAAGTGAGTTGCCATTACAACTCATTTAAAAGTATTTCATTTAAAAAAAAATGATAATTTTAACTATTACCTATTTGTTTGGTCTAACACAGTGAGCTGCATTTAAAGAGAAAGAAGATTTCTTTCACCTAGGAATGGAGATTATAAAATGGATTCTGCAAGCTTTAGTCAAATGACTCCAGTGGGACAACTGACATAAATAAGGATTGGTAAATTGCTCTGTAAAATACCTAGTCATTTTTTTTGTTTTGGCATGTTTGTATTTGATAAGATGTTAGAAAACCTAAAGAGAAAGATGATTTGTACAGGGAAGCACAGGCTCAAGGGAAGCTTTTCCATGATCTGTTTTGGGACAGTTTTTGCTTAACATTTTCATTAATTATTTTGGCAAAGGCTGATGAAATTTCCTGATGACATAAAGTTGGAATGTACTGTCAAGACTGAGAAGGATAAGAATATTATATAGAAAGAATTGCTCAACTTTATGGACTGCATTAATAGAAGTGGGATGAAATTCAATAATACAAAACATAAGGTCATGCTTCTGCTAATAACAGAAACTTCAGTTCTAAACTCAGGAGAAAGAAAAGCAGGACCTCATTGCCTCTGTTAAGGACTTTGAGCTGCTGGTGTGATGCAAATATGAAAAGGCACATTATCAGTATTTCCTAATTAATTTTATTTCTCAATTAATTTCTTAATTTCTTAGAGGTACTTCCAATACCATACAATTCTCTTCGTCCACATTAAAAACAAGGTCAAATTCAACTACAACAGCTGTAGACAAAGTCCTTTTTGTGTTCTTCAGGGAAATGGAGCAACTATGTTGTCACAGGAACGTAAGAAAGTTTGATTTGTTTATCCTAACAAACAATCTGTGAACAGGGAAGAAAACAGTAGGAGGAAGAGACTGTTTAAGCTAAGGACAATCCTGACAGACTAAAAATCAAGGAAAAAGTAGTTATGAATAAATTTAGGCTGAAAATATTTTTCAAGTTATTTTTTAAAAGTATTTTGGTGTTGGCTAAGTGAGGGTCTAGAACAGCCTTCCAAATCCACAGTAACAAAAAAGGATAGCATATAAAAGAAAATTATATGATGCCGATAGTAGCAGTAGCCTGAACTCAGCAACTTACAGGAGGACCGTTCCAGTCCTTTGCAAGCAGTATAAACATTCAAGAATAATGAAAATACCAAACGTCTAAAAAGCATTTATAGTTACTACATTGCAGATTGTAATATATAAAAATAATCTTTGAAAATAAACTGTAGTTACCTGTTTTAATGAAAGGATGCTTTGCTTGCCTCACTATAACAACATGCTTCTAAATGTATAGCCGTATGGCACTCCAAATCCAAGCTCTGACTTTCTGGTTGGGCTCTTTGATGATGTCCCATGTGTGCACCAGCTACCTAAGTTCGCACAAACCTCTGTGAATCAAAACCACAGAAGTACAATACAGCTTTACTCGCATCTCCGCCCTGTGCCAAATTCTGAACTTATGCCAATGCAACTACATCAGCTTCACCAGTTTATACCGAGATATTCGTTCTCCCTCCCAGCCACACAAAAAGGAAATTTGTCTTAAGTTTTACAGTTCACTGTTAGTTAGCATTAACGGTCACTCCTGTTCTGCAAGAATATACTGAATACATGAAATTTGACCATAAAGAGTGCTGAGGACTCAGAAAATGAGCCAGAAGAGTATTAAACATGCTAATAATTCTGTTTCACTTTAGCAGGACCTCTAGCATGGTTAAGATTAAGCATGAGCAGGAAATAATTATAAGAGGAACTTACATACTTTTTGTGCATATGCACACATATACTATATTCCATGAAGGAGATAATTTAACACATGAAATTCTAGGAAATATTTCAAAACTTTGGCTCTTCAGTCACGGATCAATACTTCTTTATGGCACTTTAAACATATAAGAAAGCAGCCTCTGAGCTGAAGGACAACCTGATCTAGTTGAAGATATCCCTGCCCCTGGCAGGGGGGTTGGACTAGATGACTTTTAGAGGTCCCTTCCAACCCAAACTATTCTATGTTTCTATGTTTCTATGAGCCTAAATGTTTTTGCTAGTACAAAGCCAGAATGGTCAGCACCATGCACATCAATCACCTGTCTGAAGCCACTGATGGTGACAGTACTTACTTCCTGACTAGTCCGGGATTCTTACTCCCTGCAAAAAAGTAAGTATGTGTGTGGGTAGAAAAGGGAAGATCATCTATTTTAAACAACTATACAGCTTTCACTTCCATTACATTCTAGAAAATTATAATGCTGTTAGAAAAAAATGACATGCTAAGCCATTTTCAGTATGCTAATGGAGGGCATGTTTCTTGCTGCTATCTGTTTCCGTTTCCAAACCCTTTTTTTTTTTTTTCATTAAAAATTTCCAAGGATTTTCTGAAACGGAAAACTTATTTTAAAAACGAAAGACAGGAGAAAAGAACAAGAAAATAGATGAACACTAGTTTTATATATAAAATATACATACCCCAATAAAATATACAATCTTATTTGTTTCATGTCTGCAGAATTTTGCTAAAAGGTAGGTATTATTTATGAAAATGAACCTGCAGTTTTAAAAATTAGCAGCCATATAAGAATGTCGCATTGGACTGAAAACTCCCGGGTGATACTACCTGAATCATAGCTAAGAAGCTCATACAATACACACCTTTTTTAAACTTGTTAATTAAAGACTGTTTTTGCAGCAATAATACAATGCATTATTTGAATTGATTAAATGTAAGAGACTAATTATTCTACACAGAAATTGACTGAACAATCAAACTTCCAAAATCTGACAGAGTAGTCCTGTTATGAACTTGCCTCCTAGAAAGAAGCTGGTTTTAAAGGTGAACAGCATAGGTTAAGCAAGCTAAGGTAGCAGTAGAAGGTCACAAAATACATAAGTACTTCAGGCCCAGCAGCCTAATGCCATAAACTTATATTTTAGCACAGAACTGAAGCTACTGACAGGAGTGCTCTAATACTGATTTCACTGCAGACTTGCTAAAAAGCCATCTGAAATGGGAAAGAAGTGGAGACCATTGTACAGTACGGATGCACACAGAAAGAAATAAAGCCAGAAGTATGCCTGAAAACTGGGGTACACACTCAGGTAGAACAATAAAAATGAAAATTATGCAAGAAGAGCCAAAGTTTTGACCCCACCTGCATATAATAGCTAAATGGTGCATTAGACAATGACCAAAATATTCCCCCAGGCAAAAGCAGATATCTAGTTTTGCTATGGTTCAAGGTAAAAAAGACTTTAGCAACTTCCCTAGAGCCACATTGCTTGGAAAAGGCAGATCCCTGCAATGCAGTCATCAGTCAATCAATGATGTATGCTTTAATCACATCCTGACAGAAGTAATCTGTTTAAATCATCTTTCTGCCAAATAATTAATTCTTCTTAATGCCTATATCTAGTTCAAAATACCACAAACAATGGTTCTTCCAAATGCTATACAACACCAATGAACTTCAAATAATTTTACTTCCTTCCAACATTGGCCTAACTTTCCAATCTCATAGATCATAAATAATTCAGGTGCCACTGTG